ATCTACCTTCTTAAGATAATTTTTCTTAAGCGCTTATTTACGAGGTACCAGATCTAATAATCTACCCTTTTATGCTACTTCTTTTTGTCTAACTAAAACTGCATTCCAACCCAATTAACGGTCCATTCGATTCGATAGACGTTTAAAATAAAAATACAAGCCCACAACCCTTTAATGTGAAGCCGGCATCGGAAGAGGTTCTACGAAAAGGCTGGTGATAAATTCTTCTAGGAACCGATTACGATTCGACAGCAAAATTCCCTTTAAGGGCACCATGAATCTTCCCGTTTACGGCGATTAGAGGGAGATGAATGTATGTGAGAGATTATCCAGATAGGGCCTGCATGCCTCGCCCTACTCGTATTTATGGAGCTGGTTTTGAAACCTGTTTGCACTGGACATGCGTTCTACGGAGGGCAAATAAAAGTCATAACGGAGCGAGAGTAGCCACCGGCAGCGGCAGCATGGCGTGATAATTGTGTGAGGAATGCATTCGCACTGACGTGTGAAAAATATACAAACTCCGTGGTTTCAAGTGTCATTTGAATAATGTCGTAAATAAGAAACAAAACATTTAGGTGTGATACAATCAAGTTCTGATTTCACTTGTTAGAAGCTTGCGCAGAATTAGCCGGGTCGCCTTGACTCTTGATTACGATACGACCTTATTAGGGACTCTTTCACAATGTACCGATTGAGGTTAAATCATCGATAGAATAGTAAAAGCGTGTTTTGAAGGCAATTTACATTGTAACTTCATTGACTTTAAATTGCGGCGATGAACAATTGACATTTGTGTTGGTATATTCAATATTAAATTGAATGCCGTTTGTAATTCGTTATTTACCTATCTAAGCGAATGAATAAGAATAATTATGTTCAGTGGGTAGTGTTCTTCAACCTTTATGAATAGACATTTAAGAGACCTTTGTTTCCATTCAAAGCATGTTTAAACGAGGCCAGATACTCGGCCTGAATAAACATATAAATCGCACTGTTTCTGTCCGTTCAATAAATTTCTAAAGAGGACAAAATAAAGGCAGATACATTATAGCGGCTATTACCAATCTAGTCTCTTCGTCGAGGCCATTTAGATACGAGAACACCTACTGAGAGAATCTATTCACGTTGTATAGTACTTGTGCGAGCATCCATGATGAATATGGAATTGATAACACAATTTCCTCTGCGGTGATACTCAGAACCGGATTACCATCATATATCCATATAAATAACGATATTTCGATTGAAAAACGACATGGATTATTCTGATAAATTTGGCTTTAAAATGCCTATTTGATAGCAACAAAAAAACGTTAAGCGTTGAATTAATTTTAAGCCCGTTATTTAGTATAACAAACAGCTGGGTTAACAGAGATTGTGATCGCGATGTGCGAGTGAGATGGCGCGTATTCAGTAGTTCAAGTAACGGTGTATTGGGGTGAAAGTACACATAATAACGTAACGTCCGTCGAAGCAAGTGTGTAAAGGACTGTTGACTTCCAGTTTACATTAAAAATGTTTACACACCAAGATACGCTTTAAAAAGTTCTTGTAAATTGTCTCTTTATTGAGCCGTAAAACGATATCCTTTCCATAATGGTTTTAAAATGATACCTACCTACCTTCTTGCGAAATACCGTTTGTTAAAACGTAACTTATAGGTAGGAACTATAAAATCATTCAATAGGTAGGTACTAAATACATTAAGTGCCTATTGTAGGTAATAGGCACTAAAATTAAAACAATTAGGCAGTTAATAATGGCACCTACGTAGGAAATTGCGCACGCCGATCCGCCATGAGTGTACGAAAATATGCAAATCGCTATTTGTCCCACAGTAAGGACGGAAACGGTACTGCCGGCCATTTGCGATTCTACACCGATATTGTTAAGGCTGAGACGTCACTCTGAATAAATAAATGGCATAGATTCCGTGTAGAGGATTCGCGTCGCGTTCACGGCCGCGTTCCCAGCCGGCCATTGTTCTTTACGTAATGCCAACATGACGCGCCGGCAACCATTTATTATGCTTACGCAGGTGCCGACTCTTCACCGTGTCGATTTCCACCCGACTATTGTTCTTGTAATCGCGCTAATCTGCATATAAACACGGATATTATAAGATTGTTTCTAATAATGCAGTCACACTTGAATCATAATTAAGTCGTTCAACATAAATACATGTCAATTAGTCGCACTGACTGAAGATCATCGCGTGACGTAATATTAAACAGTGTTCAATATTCAATGTGATTGTTTGTCAATCGGTGTTGTCATTAATGGCAAGCTGCTACTATCATGTTTTTAACACGACCTCGATGCAATAAAAATTAAATGAGCTCGGAAAGTCCGCTCCAGCGCGCCCTCATAAATCTTCCATAACGGTCGACCCAACATAAAAAGGGCATTCTGCTGTCTATTGAGGGTTCGAAAAATATAGTAACCATTATTTTTTAAACTATCATTCGTTCTTGCTCGTCTTTTGGTGTAGGAAAGTTAATAAACCGTATATATGTATATGTATACTAAGAACATACACTACTAAAGTTGTAAGTTTTACGAGCTACGACAACTTAAGGGAAATATATGCCATTGATGCCTGATAACGTTTTGATGAAGATAACGTAAGCTACAAGTTACGAGGAAAACAATTAACTGAAGGCCAAACAGTACAAGTAGCGACATCTATAATTCAGTACCGGAACATCTATAGTTCACGCGGTGTTCAGAAGATTTTTCTTCTAATAATAAAATTGTTTGCGTAAGAGCTCCAACAAAAATGTTATAACAATATAAAAACTGGTGTTTAAATAGTAAAAACAAATATCAGATGAATTCTACTAAAATTGTATAAAAATAGGAAATAAAAATGTAATAAAACTGTTGACATTTTTGAAAGAAACTTGAGGAAATGTGGAATTTATAGACGAAAGACTGTTCGTGTCTTACAGACGCTTTTCTTCTAATTAAATAGGAGTTGATTCACGCGCACGCTCGCGTTGCGTCGCGTGTCACTGACCTTCGCGCATTTGTGCGCCGGATACGGCTGTCATGCGTTTGTGTACTTCATCACAAGCGCTGCCTGCTTTATATCAAAACAAAACATCGCGAACACGTTCTGACTCATTATTTAGTGTTAATTAATACAATTGTCTTTTGTTTACACGCGCTTTCACGCATTTGATAACTGGAATCAGGTTACGTAGGCTTCGATGATAAATATCTTCGCCTTAATTTTATATAAGTATACTAATGATGTAGAAATGTAGACGATCGCAAATATCTACCTACGTGTTTTGGTATCATAAATTGGTTATATTCCTCTCTTTCTAACAGCCAAGTTTCGCATGGGAACTCTCTTTTATTTTAAAGCTCTATCTATCAACAGTTTAACGACTTTAATGGCTCTAATGTTTTTGTTCCAGTACAGTTAGTATCTACCTACGTGGGATTTTAAACAGCCAGTTCGTATCTGCATTTATATTCAATTAAATGTAAATTACTTCAAACGGTTAGCTAAGTTAATAAAGTACCTTGTAGCCTAAATAACATGTCTGTGCAGACAAAAATTGCATAATTTAACCCCATTGTCTCGACTTCTGCTTCATTATAGTCAGGTGAGGGTTATTACGGAGCAAAGATTAGGGTGACACTGCATTCCTGCACGAATTTCTAACGCCACCCTACAAAACGTGCGCTAGACGTGTCACAATTTCCCTGTTCACCCCATTTCACCCCGCCCACCGCATCCGCCCCGAGGAGGGTTGTCGCGTGCCTCAGCCAGTTTCGTCGGCATGCAAATTTAATATTGTTATTTTTATTCTAACTTTACAAGGGCAGTGGGGGAAGCAAAGTATGATAAAGGAGCATAATGTGTATTAATGTATGCCCGGTTTCCTAAACTCGTATAATATTCACGTGTAAAGGGGTTGCCTTGAGGATGTTTTATTATTGAATACAACGTTTTGCACTTAGCGTGATAACGTTAGAACATAACCGCAAGGAATTGCATAATCATTTTACAGTTTAAACAAGTTTTTGGGTTGCGAACTCACGGTTATTAACTTCTTTGTTTAAATTTATTTCCTTTATGCTAATGACAAAGAAAATGTACATTATAGGTTCTTTATTTAGGCTAACGGTTTGTATGGACGTCGAGTTATAACCCAGGATCTTTCTCTACATACCTACCTATATAGAACGCAATATTTGCTAAACGTACCCCACTCCAGCGCACGTCTGATGCATTTTAAGGTGAATATGTAAAGTTATGCTAACTACACGAGCAAACGGGCGCACGCAAAATTTGCGATGTTCCGCCAACGGAATGCAGATTACTTCGTTACCGAATATCAAGATTGTATAAATCTGTCAATGAGATAAAATTTGCTCGGATCGCACCGGTGCTAGTCTTCATTTGCAATTTAGAATGACCTTTCAATTGGGGGCGAACAAGACATTTAGTTACCTAAAGTGGCGAGTGGCGATTAATCTGTCATGTTGAGTGAGTTGAGAACTAAATTATTTTCACAAAATTCTGACCGTAGCTTTCTAGGAATATTAGCATGAATATGTTAATGTACTTCAAAAGAAGGGGTTCATACATAGAGACGGTTGAAATGTGCAAATTGGTATGACGCGACGCGCTTGTCAAATATCGTTACGTAATATTAAAGGACTTATAATAGACGTGACATGACATTAGGTTAACTAATGTACATTATTAATCTGCACATTGAATTATCGCTGACAAATATCTAAGACAGGCGTACAATTAGTTGAATTACACGGCGTGTTCGATTGCAATCTTGTTACGAGTCATTATATCAGTTCAATGTACTTGCTTGTTTATTATCCCGTCATCTGTTAATATTAAATACCAGTAGAACATTTCCGTCGTAAATTGAAACCCAGTTTAATAAACAAGGCCACCCAAACATCAATTAGCAACATAAACACGAACTATGATTACAATACGATAATTGAGTGTTCGGATTTTAAACGCACGAGCGACGCGACGTGGCGGCGAGGCGACGTGCGACCGACACGACGCGTACTGCGGGGAAACCAATTAAAATCAAATTGTTAGGTAAACAAACAGGCCCGTACCGCGGAAGCTTATCCAATATCCGAATTCCGTTAACTGACACAAAGGACTGTCGCTTCCACCGTCGCTTTGTGAATACACAACACCGCATATGTATTTGAAGAGGTATACGGTTGATAGCTCTGTGCAGCTAGTTGCCGCTATCGACGAAGTTATGTACAGCGATTGTTTGCTTATTAAGTTGTGTACAGGTAATGTACTAGCAAAACAGAATCAATCGATTGAGCTCGACTTTAAACAAATTTATCGTTGATATTATGTACATCGTCGCAAATAGGTTGTTTACTTTTCCTAAAAAGTAAACCTCAATTCTTGTTGATGTTATAACGTAGAATGTAATATTTTTCCTGTTTTTCCACGAAGGACTAGTCTCTTAGGATTACTTCCACTTTTCTCCAGTAATTTTATTACGCCTATGAGCTGGGACGACCTTCTTATTATATATTGCGAAATAAACTGTGCCACTGCTGAGCAATGAAAAACTCTTTAGTCACAGCAATTTGCAATCTGTTTCAGCACTTTGCCATTGTTAGACCAATGTGCCAGTAGAAGTATAATATCCATTTGAATAATAAAAAAAATGTTACATAAAAAGGCTTTAATCGTTTTATCATAACGCTTTAAAAACAATTACAGTAAAATTATTAGCGTCGATCGTTTTGACTACAAAAATAAATAGACACAAATATCTTCACATTTTCGCAACCAAATACGGCTTAGAAACGTGACTGCCAAACCAAACGTAAAACAAAGTTTTTCCATATAAGCAAAACAACAAAACATTCTCAATTATGTAAAGCGTTAGGTATTGTTTACCGAACAGTTCCGAGTAAGAAACAAGGCGCTACCAACCTTGGAAACTTAACTAGTTTCACATTGAAAAGTTGGCCCCACTGGCCGATGGGGCAGGTCGCGAACATTGAACGAAAGTGACCGAACTTGTGAAGTTGGAACGATGAACAAGAATGTGAACAAAGTTCAAGCGATCCGAGCAATATTTGCTCGAAGCCCTGGCTGTTCACAACTCCAGCGCTAGACCAATATAAAGTTAGTTACGTGAACACAAGCATATAAATACAATGGAGTGCTTACCAGCACTAAACTTGCCGACTGGCGAGTAAACAATAACTTTGCTATGGTTTATGTAAACGCATCATTAAGGAATTGATGAACATTGTGTTAAAACTTCTAGTCAGTTTATACGAGTAAACAAACTCAAACAACTTTTCCCCTGGTTTAGTTATCAATAAGAAACATGTTTTAAGATGGCTTTAGAACATATTTTCAATTCTTCTTCGCAAATGTTTTCATCAAGTACTTTTATTTTGCCACTGAGAACAAACTTCATTATTTTAACAAGGCAAAAATGTCAGTCGTTATTAAATAAGGTTTTTGAAATCACAAACGTAGTATGTCTACGCAGAATAATGAAAACCGAAGAAGCCGCTCTCAGCCTACGTTATAAGATCTCAACTCTTTATTATGTAAATATAATGTACGTTGGCCCAGAGGCGACGAAATTTAATATAAACGTACTTTGAATTATTCAAGGAATAATCAGGACTCTTTCATTCCCGAAATAAGTTTTTAATATGTATGTGATTTTTAAAGACAGGTCAAACGGTCTTTTGACGAATAAATTGAATACAGATTTGCTCTCAAACATACTTCTGTATGAATAACTGTATGTACTATGTATATGTAAATTAGAAATATACTTATTTGGATAACAAACCAAGTTTTGTGGAGGAGATTAGTAAGGACAATACGAAATATGAAGATTTCAGTCAGGTCTGAATTAGTGTCAAGACGAGCACATAAAATAATTACACAGCGCAGTTCTCTGATTTATATGACACATGTATGTATCACATGTATCATCCCCGCTGTTGGCCCGGGGGCAGACGGCCATTCTGTGACGTCACGCCACTGTCACTCGCACCCCGAGCACGAAATGAAAGCACGTTTTTATCTCCCTTTATCGCAGACATATTATTTCACTCAAAGGATAACATCCCATATCACTGGACATACAAAGGGGAATTTCAGCGCTCAGGTTCCTTATTTAATTTTCTTGCAAACTTTTTCTTTTTCAGAACTGAATTGGAGTCAAACACTAAAGATGTTACGAAAGAGTAAATGGATTTCGAAACACTGAAAGTTTTAGAAAGTTTTTAAAAAGGAACAAAAGAATCCTGAGCTCGTGTTGGGTTTTTACTCGTTTAGATTAAGTGAGTAGGTAATTAAACTCACAAAGGAAACAATAATTTATCTCTGCACTCTTGTTAAGCAAAAACATTTTACCTAGACTGCGTCCTAGGTAATTTGCTGCTTGAAATTAAATCGTATGCGAAGCTCACAGAGAAATCCCAATTCTCTCTGAAATTTATTTGAAACTGGAACGTATTCAGAGGTATAAATGGTACGTTCACATCCCAAAATGGTCGAGTTCGTTTGGTTAAAACCGTAGGCTTGTGGAGCTTGAATTCAGCTTTGGCTCGGCTTGAAGAACGGTAATAGTAGCTGTGTGAAGTCAAGATAGAACTTGTTTTGATCTATATCTATGAGCAAATAATAATAAAAAATACGAACTGAATGTATTAAAATAAAATTTGTATCATACATTATAGTGTTATGTATTTTCTTTGTGTAAAACTAATGCTGGGCAAAGGCCCTCAGACTACTCATCTTCCAGTCCTCTCTGTGCGAAGCTTTTTTTATTTCTTTGACTATAATTTACTGATTTTATGTAATTCAAATCCTTAGTTTTCATTTTGCCTCTATTAAAAAGGTGACCAAATTAGCCTACACTAATGTAGTATCAAGTTTTTTCTTAAGCTTACGTAATCTGGTAAACAAAACATCGTTTACGTTTTAGACGCATCCAAGTTTCATATAAAACTTCACACAACTGTGTTTAAACTTTGAAGCAACACGACAAGAGACAAAGCATTCAAAGATCTCAGTTCACACAGCCGTAGGAAACAAAAGATAATTGAATGCAGACAATTCACACAGTAAAGAATTTCGTATTAAGTATAAAATATTCTTTTGTTGTGATGAACTGTTTCCAAAGACTACTAAGATTAAGAGATTCAATCGAGAATAATGTAACAAAACCTAGGATATTTATATCTATGTATTGATAAGTACATCACTCTATTGCAAATGGCCGCCATCCATCTTAGGTGCAGTCAAAGGCGAGGCGGGATCATCCATTAAGGGGATGTTTGGGGAAAATGTACATGATATATTTATTACTACAGCAACACAGACTTATTTATTACACATCTATTTTTACGTGTTCTGAAAAAAGGTGTACACTGACCATAAATTGAAATGATTAATATTTATACAAACGATATTTGAAATTGTCGGTGGTACATATCGTCTGCGTTGGAAACACGAACGAAATAAATGACCGTTAAATATTTATTCTGCTCTGTCGGAAAATACTTCTTACATTAAAATATCTAAAAGAAATAGCAAACTCTTTTCTTTTATCATTATTCATCGATTTGTACAATCAAGATTCTTATGCCAAGAAAAGTATAATTTGTTTACTAAAAACATTATATTGTATTTACGTTTGAATGGAAAAAGCAATTTCATTTGCATTTGAACAAATTCAGAAGCACTGCATTTAGTGTACATTTCACGGGTTAGGTGCAACTGCACAAACCCAGCTGTGTGAGAATTTACTATTTAAGTTTAAGTAACCCGTTTATAGCCGTCGACTGGCGTCGTGCCAACGTATGGAGTAAAAGCCGTAAAATTTGAAACTCTCTTATCTATACATTCACCTAAGTGTACATACATATATAATACGTATGTAGTACCTAAAGACGTCCGAGTAACGACCCACAATTTATACTGACCCAAAAACTTATCTGAACTCATATTTCAGGTGGTAAATTAAGACGCGTATTTTACCGCAAGCTGCTCCACGTAACGCCAAACAAAAAGAGATAAACGAACTGGTTCTTGGTTTAAGATTAAACTCAAAAGCAAAGTACATTGACTTTGTCGCCATCGTGAAGAGGATACAAGATAGTTTTACTATAATCTCTCCTGATTACGAAACAAAACATTTTGATAAAATGCACTCACATGCCAAAAGAACTCATTAGTTTGAAAACTCTTTGAAACGTGACAGTAAAACAAGATTATCTCGCTCGAATTGCAACATGTTTTCATACATTTCAATTTAAACGAAAGCTTCAGAGAATGTTGCGTTCAATCTAATAGGAATTACGAATGGAACGGTCACAGGCACCGCCGTAGTCAGCACACCTGAATGCTCTGAATTCTATCCTATTAAGCGGGCAGCCGGCTAACTCCCGGGGGAGCTTTTGTAACTCTCCCCTTTGGTACATACATTGCACGCTGCGTCAATTGTGACGATACTGAAGATACCCTCTTATGTCTTGTGTGGGTTGGGGAAACATCCAATCAATACGCAGTTAAAAGGAATGAGACGTATTTTTATTACACTTCAAAGCACAATTTTTACTGTCGTATTCATGTAGTTTTTACTTCTACCAATTTTTTCTCTCATCAATCATCCACTTTGACTTTTTATACGATGTTTAGGAATGGTTCTAAATTACCCAACATTCTTCTTGATTAATAGGATGAAGTTATAATTGACTTTCAGATAACACCCGTGAGTGTTACCGGAGGTGATCCATCAAATAACTTTCACTACAAAAACAATTCTATTATGACGTGGCCATCGACAGCAATTCTAACCTCTTCAAAAATAATATATTCACAGCTAAAATAGATAGCATTGTAATGGCGCCATAAATTTTGGCTTTTTATTGCTTTCTTGAGAGTTGGCAATTTTATGTGATGAACAAAGGAGATTTGTTACGGAGGTGATATAAAAAGTTTTGTTTACCTGCAGGTTGCGGAGGTGGCTCGGTGGGTGCAATTTGCCCGTTGCTTCTCACGGCCGATGATTTCTTCCTGCCACCGGTAGTCGCTGGACTTTTTGTGGTCTCGCGCTCCACTCTCTGGAAATAAAAAAATAAATTTAATGATTCGAAATCTTAAAATAAACTTGTTCCCAAAATATTAAAGACAAGATTGTATTACAACGGTTTTGAGTTAATCTGAATCGTATCTTACATCCTCTTGTCGTTTTCATTTTATTATTTGACATTTAGGTATGTGTTTTATTTTCTTAACGCAAGTACTAAAACATTAAAATTATTTTGTATAAAAAGTAATGTAGACATATGGACCTGTTTCAATAACGAACTTGAGTCAAAGTAAACAAAGGACTGGAAACACAATGTTAATTCGAACCCTTCAGACCTTTGATGTTTGAATAAATGCGGGGGCCGCCCTATACATATTTTAATGAACTTCTAAACTTTTAAGTTATCGCAAACGGCCTTGCGTTACATTGATGTTAATTGAAAACCTCTTTGTTTGATATTCAACCGAGAAACCGTTACTACGTCATCATTTTTCACTATTATTAGTGTTTAATTTGCTACAGAATGGGACAAACCAGAACGTCGATGCTATCATTTTGGATTAACATAGGTACACGTACATGTGTAGTTAAAACAATCATTTTGCATAATTAAAGGTTTATGATGATGCATTTTAAATATTATTTAACTTATTTCGATAAGATATCAAGAGTTAGACTCCGATTTTAACAACGCATTAAAATTAAAATTACTTTATAGTGAATTGACCTCCATTAATATTAATATTTTTACAAACACATTGACTCATCTTCGTACATTCAGCATTCTCACCGAAATGTAATTCAGGTCACATACCAATTTCCTACGCTCTTTGCAAAAATACAATCGGAAGGCGTTAACCTCGTAACATAAAGAAAGATCACACAATCAAACGATTTTGTGGAAACTCCGGCAAGATGAAATTAATGGAACATAAGCATGAAGTAACGACATCAGAGCGCCCTTTGAAATGGAATCATTCAGCTGTGAAGCAGCAATCCACTTATTTCGGCTGACGGCGGGCGATCCCAGTCCGAATTACGTCGAGTCATGACTCATGGCGTTTCGTGTCGGCTCGTGCTGACTCACGCCCGAGTCGGCAAGACCTCGCGACTAGGATTGCCGAGTCAGCGGCGCACCTCGACAGCGGTTATTGCGCTGACAGAACGGAATAAGCCGTTCACTGCTATGCATTAATATTGATTGATACCCGTAATCACAAACTAAATCTTTAATAGCAACTCTAGCCGACCCTGCATATACACTACCTTAGCTTTATAAAAGGGGGATTACTTTCAATCTTCGAGAATTAAGAGTAATTTTGTTTTGTAGACCGAATATTAATAAAAGGCACAGAACTCAATAAATCACGATGTCAAGAAGCGAAACACGAGATTTAATAAAACACCGGCTAGAGCAGACAGGCTGCCAAAAAGACTCAGGCGAGCTTGTATTTTTAATTAATGACAGAGTCCACAGAAGACTACATTACAAATTCGAATAAATCATAAAATAATTGTAGTACAGTTCAGAAAGTAAATTCAAAAGTAGGTAATTATGTAAAGTTATTGTGTAATCAAAACAAAATGTCTTTTATTATGTTCATACGCGTACTGAATAAATGTATGGCTCAGCTGACCGCGTGTTGTCATAACAAAAATTTATGGTATAAACATGCGAAACTGGGGGAGGCTAGGGTGGGGAGCCGGCCACGACATGCTAAGTACTCGTGAAAAATGGGGCAGTGAGGGAGGTTGGGTTGTTCTCCCTCTTTGGGGAGGCTCCACCCTGGAGTCGGCGGTCGCGACTGAACTGTTTATGTGCACAAGCGAGCTATGCTTTGACAACGCGCTGCGTCATCGGGAAATTGACAAACAACCTGTTTATATGGATCGAGGAACACTGTTGGCTCAGTGTGGGTCGGTTTTAATACCTATACTAACTTTGTTTACGATAGGCATTTCTCGGTCAGAAAAACCTTTATTGACTCTACATACGCACTTACCTTTAATTATGAAACATATTATGAATGCATTAATTTCTGGGAAAAAATGAGCAAACAGTGATGATGTGCTAGTACTACCATAAGATTTTCTTGTTATCGTAACAGTTTAAATAAATAACAACCATCTTTATAAGTAACAATCTTTAATCAAAGCGATCAAACTCAGAATTACATTTTAACTCAAACAATCAACACTCGCTGAAACTTTTGTGTATGAATAGAAAGTTTTTAAAACGTTAATTAAAACTTTGCATTGGCAGTCAAGCTGAGCGGGCGCCGGAGAAAGTTATGAGTCATTTGGTTCACTTTAGTATTGACTCTTGGTCTCTCCTTGTAAGTTGCGCGTTACATCACACTTTAATCACACGATTGTACTCCTACGATTGACAGGCCGATCGAAATGTTGATTGGACAGCTAGTAACACAAAACAATCTTATAAATTATTTATTCATTCATAACGAACATTAATTATCATTATCTTCGTCCAATTTGCACAATATCGTATGTCATTTTTTGCGATTAAAAATAATAATTAAGAACGCACTAATTGCAGATCTTAAAATTTTTGCTGCACGTGTCGTTTATTAATTCAATTTTATTTTTTACATCTTACTTCCGCATTTAATTAAAAAGATATGGCAATATGTAGGCGTTTTTGCATTACGGATTAAAATGTTCCGAAAAATTATATTAAAATGTTGATCGTCAAGTGAAAGTGAAATGGTGCATTAAAGAGAAAGCGTGGTCGCGCGATACATGACTGACCTACGCAATGCGACTTGCAAACTAGGCCATGGGCCCGAGCCTGAGCTTGCACAAGAAATGCATACTTTGCATTACACTTCTTACTCTATGCTAATTGTTTTAAGTGTGCGTGGCGTATTTGAATAGGACAAATTGAAGTATTTCGACATAGAGACGTGAGATGAAATTTTTATAGTTATTGTAATGTGTCCATTTTGTTTTGTTCATTCTTCACGGAGTTTTTCGGTAATTAAATGTTTATTAGTCCATTGTTTATTCATAAACATCATTAGGTTTCATAAACATTGCTTTTAGTAGATATTAAATAAAATTAGTCAATGAGTATAAAATTGCTAATACCAGAAATACTTTTACTCATTCTGAGCTCTAATTTTAACACGAAATTGTATGTAAATACATTTTATGTGTAAACCCTCTAATGAATTTTTCATCAGTGACTGCAAGTTGTTTGTTTAATCTTTACCTAATAGGTAAACGACAATGTTTGATTACACTGTTTACTTTGAGCACTCGTTTGCTCTTAAATGTTGTTATAAAAATGGGATGGATGTTATTGAACGTGTTTCAACCTTCATGGGTGGTCCCGCTGGACTGGGCAGTAGTCTATAATAGGAGGTATTAGAGTCCACCTACGCCCATCTATTCATAGCTTTATATATCACAACGTTTACACACTCTATGAAGAAATAAATGCTTCGTAGTTTTTCATAGAAATTTCCCTCAAATATTTTGGCAAAGTTCCATGGTAATGTTCGATTGTAACTCGCGTCATGTTTAAAAACTGACGAGCGAATACTTCGATGATAAAACTCACAATTGAATATTGTTATGTGTATTAAGACTCGTTTACGATAGTGTGGTGCCAATTTAGTAAATAGGTGACGTCAGCATAATGTACATTCATAACCTCTTTACGTTATGTAGGTAGGTAAGTACTATATCACTTTCAAAATAAAGGATCAATCATTTTATGACAAATTGAGATAAGAATGATTGATGGGGAACAATTAGATATTGTATTGATGCTGTAGGATGATATTTGTGTGTAAACAGAACCCCAGAAAGTATTAGTGAGAGATCCAGCACTTTTTGTGACAATATTACTTTTATATTATAAAACAATAAAAAAGAGTAGTTTTCAAGATATTGCCTATGCTTTTTCCTTATTATATATTTGTAATAAATAACAATCGATTATTTTCTTTCTGGCTGGTCTTGCTACTGGATATTACATGAAAAGTATGTTGTATTTAAAAGAAAATATGATAGTAACAACTCTAGCATTAGACACATTTTTGGCAGATTATGGGAATATTGTTTTTTTGTTACATACGTATCTTTTAAAAACCAGTTAAAACTTTAAGATTGATTTTTAGTTCCGCTGGAAAACCAGACAGATAATAAAATAATCTTTATTGCGGTTTCAATAGCATCTATATTTACTTGACCTCTTTCACAGAATGGATTAAATTTTTACAATTTACGACCTAAATATAAAGAAGTCAACGAAGAAATTTTGTTGGCTGCATTTCACAAATATCTTTCGAGTAACGACCTTGGTCTACAACGTTTTCAAATAAACACATTTTACTTGGCTCGAATTCTCGTAAAAGTGGCCGGTGTGTTTAATGTCGTTTCATCGTTTATTGTGTCATTCACCCCCAACACGGGGTGTGTTACACCCCTTAACCCTTTATCGCTACGTACGGAACGTTGTGCGTGACAGATCAAAACCATCTTTCGCTTTAATGAGATTTCGCACGGAGCGGAGGGGTTGAAACCCGTATTTTTACCCTCCCCTTAATTATAACGTTAGACTGGAAAACATTGCGTGATTGGATCTTTTGAGGTATTTGCGATGAAAAATTATGAAATAAAGGTACGTTTATTTATGAAGAAAAATTTTGCTTTGCAAATTCATAACAAATTATTGAAAGTATAAAAAAATTAAAATAAAAACGCACATCACAACTATGTGATCTTACTTCATATTATGATGCCATAAAATGAAATAAAAACAAAAATATAATAACAATAACTATACATATATGTTAAACGTACAAACATAGTTAGATTTCTTCCGTGTTCAGACAATTACCAAGTTATTAAGGTCTAAATTGGACTGAAACCTCAATTCGAATCGCATTCAATGGGCTGGGTACAAATTGCTTCTGAACGAAATGCAATACTGTGTACATTCACTACAAGCAAAACCAATTAATTCTGTATAGACGTTAAACGAGCTATACTCGCTCCTATAAT